AAGGAGGAAATTTAATTATCATTTAGTAAACAAATTCGTGGATTATTGCAGACTCTGTTTAATCCGTTAAAAATTGACAAAAACTTTCTTCTGACTGTTTAAAGAATATGTTCATTGTATATGAAATAAATTTCAATAATTTGACTGGTCTCTTTTTAAACTGTATTAGTACTTTTAAAGGTAGTTTTCTTCATCTAAGGTATCTATAAAATAAGAAAATAAATTTTATGACAATCAATTCGTTCTAAAATCCTGATTATTTTTTAATAAAACCTGCACACCTTTGACTCATCTTTTTTCTTTCACATCAAACCCGCAATGGTCTACATTGAAAATATGAGTTACTTTTTACTATTCTGGTACTGTGATTCACCTGCTTAGTTAGGATGGCATTTTTCCTATAATTTTGATTATTTCACAGATGCATATGTAATTATTGCTTTTACCACAATGTTATAAATTCAATACTACACATCTGCTTTTAAGCCCCACATTTTTCTATGAGTGTATCAGCTTACTAAACGAATTCTTTCTTCTAGGGCTTCTTCCAGGAACACAACCATTGGCCAAAACTCTACATCCTCTCGCGCGAAAAATTCATTCTAATGATAACCGACGCGGATCAACCCGGAAGACTGTTGAGTTTTAGTATTAATCTTAGCTCTAGGTTTAATTCTACTGGAAGTTCAAACTGAAATTAAATTCAATCTAGTATTTGACCGTTTTAATTAAAATAACAGGCTGGTACGCTAGCAGCGACATTTACACGAAATACCAAGAAGTCAGGAGACCTCTCTTCGATAGCCAATTAGGTGAACCGCAAATTCAAAGCCTCTTACTGGAGGCTGTTAAATGACGCTAAGAACAACCTTTTGCTCTGACATGCACCTGAAGAGAGGTCTCAGATGCCAAGCTGTTATTTAAATTATATCGGCCAAATACTAGAGGAAAGGCTGCAAATATGGGCTGGTCTTGTAATATGGACTAGGTAGGATTCATAGCTATTCGTTGCAGATCTCTACATTTTGACTATTGCAAACGGTATTTGGCGAAGTTAAACTATCACCGTAGCGACGGCGCCACAGTGGTAGACATTTTCCAGTTTATAATAATTGTTTGTCGGTTGGTGTAAGTGTCAAAACTTTTTCGGGTAAGTTGATAAATTCCAGTATTTGAAAATAAACACTAATTTCAAAAAAAAACGTCCGTGTCACGTTGAAGCTCTATAATCAGTCTTTGATATAATGCTAATAAGTTTTCTTCAAATTGACTACTTTTATACATAAGTTGTGCAAAGTTGTGCATACATTCTGTTGTGCAAAGCAAGCGTGTTTACAATATGGGCTATGCCCCTGTTTTCATTATGGGCCAGTGGCCCATATTTAGAACAATGTAAAACATACTTCAATTGTTTCAGGATGTCAAAACAACAGCTGAAAGAAGCTAAAAAAAGAAAAAAATGGGACGAGAGAGATATGGAACGTGCAATTATAGCTGTCAGGCAGCACGAAATGGGTACGCTGAAAGCTGCAAAAATTTTTAATGTCCCACGTTCTACTTTGCAACGTTCTGCAAAAAAAACTTGATCTAAAGCCAATTAAAGCTGCTCAAATAAAGTTAGGGCGTAAAGCTGTCTTAGGGAATGATCTTGAGGACGAGTTAGTGCGTTATATTTTGGAAATGGAATGGCGTACGTCTTAGCTAACAGGAACAATATCAAACATCCGTTTGGAGGTAATACGGCTTCCTGCAACGCTATAAACAGCTATCAGTACGACGACCAACGGGAACATCATATTCACGAGCAAGAGGCTTTAACAAAGAAAATGTCTGAATCCTTTTTCAATGTTCTGGAAACAGAATATGACAAACAATTTTACCCACCTGAATGTATCTTCAATGTGGACGAGACAGATCTTACGGTTGTACAAAACAAGATTGCACAGATAGTAGGCCGAAAAGGGAAACGACAAATTGCATCATTAACTTCTGCTGAAAGGGGCTCTCTGATAACCGTCGTGACGTCGGTGAGCGCTGCTGGCCAATTCATCCCACCAAAGATGATATTCCCACGTAAAAATATTAACCAGCAACTGATGAAAGGAGCTCCTCCAGGTTCAATCATGGCAGTACATCCCAGTGGATGGATACAAAGCAATATGTTTACAAGATGGTTTCAACATTTCATTGACACAGTGAAACCCAAAAAAAAAATCACCAATCCTGCTTATTAGAATGGTCATTACAGCCATACACGTAATATAGATGTCATAGATTTAGCTAGAGATAATCATGTCACTATAATTGTCTTGCCTTCCCATTGCATCCAGAAACTCCAGCCATTGGACAAAACTTACATGGGTGTTCTTAAGGCTTACTACAGCGAAGAGATCCGGGTCTGGTTGCGCCACAATAATCGTCCACTAAGTGCATTTGATGTGTCAGAACTCTTTGGGAGAGCTTATTTGAAATGCCAAACTGGAGAGATTGTCGTTAATGGATTTAGAGCTACAGGGATTTATCCCTTGAATAAAAACATATTTACAGATGTCGATTTCATGGCAGCTGAAATTAAAGCAGAAAATACTGTGACAGCCGCACCTGATGATGCGAGTGATGAGGATGATAAGGTGATCGTCGTTTCAACCGCTGCCGTCAATTCAAATGCACCTACAAATTCTGACGATAACTCTATCAATTTTGAGAGCACACCAGATTGTCGTTCCAGCCACAATAATTTATCATCTAATTCTCCCACTCTTCCATCTGGGCCTAATAAACAGCTTAAAACTATTCCTACAAGTAACACACAGCTTAATGCTATTTCTGCAACTCGTTCACAGCTTGTCGCTATTCCTACAACAAGCTTTTACAGAAAGTCTGCTACGCCTTCCGGAAGACCTTGTGCAGAGCTTGGTGTAAAAAGAAAATTATTTGAAAATAAGCCCATTCCATCAATTCCTTCCACATCTGAGTCTTCAAGAACATCTCTGACAACACCATATGATATTTCTCCTGTGCCATTATTGAAGAAAAAAACCTCCAATCGTGGGCGTAAGCCAAGTAAGTGTTCAGTGATAACCTCTTCACCTTACAAAAATGAACTGATCCAATCTCTCAACGAAGACAAAGGGAAGCAAAACGAAGTAGGAAAAGGCAAAGAAAAGGAAAAGAAATAAAAAAAGGAAAACGTAAGCAGGTTATCAAAGTCACAAAGAACCAAAAAAAGAAATCGGGTTCTAGTAGCGAGGTTGAAGAGGAATATGTGCCTGCAGATGATGAGAGCGATTACAATGAGTTTCCTTCTAGTACACAGCCTACACAATACGCAAGTGACGTAACGTGTATGTTTTGCGAAGCACTTTTTTCAGAGGATAATCTTGGTGAAATATGGGTCATGTGCCATTTGTGGGCACATAACGAGTGCGGTGGGGCCGAAAAAGAAGAATATGTGTGTGACTTTTGCAAATAGATTTTCTCCCAGTAAAAAAAGAAACACACACGTCATTGTCTATGAGTTATTTAATATATTGTTTGTATTTTAGATATTAAAATATATTTTTCACGCATTTATCTCATTTCACACAAATTTAAGACATATTTTTCGGGGTAGCCCATATTTAGGATCATTATTCAAACGACGCAAAAGTACAATTTTTCATTGTTTTACGTTTAAAACAGTTATATATTTTTTAATCAATTTGAACTTTGGGCAGGTTATAAGTAACTAAATATAGGTATTCTTACGTACCTTTGGAATTGAAATAGAATTTTTATTCTTTTTTTACAAAGAAATACAAAATGGGTAGCCTATATTTGCATCCTTTCCTCTATTTAACATTTCAGTTTGAACTTCCACAAATGCTCCTAATGAGAAGTTGAATAACTCGAGACACGTGTAGAACAATGGTGGAATTCGAATTGAAATGAAATGCAATCTTTAACTTTCAACCTCTTTTAACCTCTTTTCTCTGCGAAAAGAGTAAAAAAGATAGCGTTTTTCAAGGGTGAAGTGTAGATGCATTTCGGAATAAAAGGTTATTCCTAGCGTCGTTCAACAGCCTCCAGTAAGAGGCTTTGAATTTTCTTTTCATCTAATTGGCTATCGAAGAGAGGTGTCCCGAATTACTACGTATTATATATATATATATATATAATATATATATATATATATATATATATATATATATATATATATATATATATATATAATACTCGATAATTACTCTTTAAATGGGAATAACCCACAATTAAAGGTTAAAGTAAGTTTATTGACTTTTCAATTTCCATTTCGGAAATCGTTTTCAAAATAAAAATATTAGTAAATTAAACAAATTTTGTTTTTTGTTACTTGGTGGAAAATTCTTCTAATAATTTAATTTTACCTGACTCATTTATATTGATAATTCAGACATTAAATTATATTGCCAATATTGTTGAGTTGCATTCCTGGGACTTTAATAAGATAGTTCATTCAATTACATGAAATAAAATTTAACTTGAGAATATTCTCCTGTTAGTGATTGCGTAATAAATTATGAGGGAAAAACCAGGAAATAAACTTCATAATACTATTCCGACATGGTAAGTATTTGGTCGTACATTTAGTTTACTCTCAATATTTTTTGTTTAAAATGGCTTACATATTGAACAAGAATAGGTTTCATTATTCCTTAGTACAGTAGATACGTACCATACACTATAATTATATTTGACACACTAAGAAAACCAACAACACCAATTGTTAGATATGCTCTGCATTACAGAAACGGGGCTTAGGTAAGGAAAAAAGACAAGGAAAACAACACTCACATGGAACAGAACAACAGAGAATGAACTAAAAGAAAATAAAATGAAACAAAAAGAATAGCCGTAAATATAAAAGAATAAAAAACTGGTAAACATAATTTTACGGGGCTCAACAGGTGGTGCATAAAATTGGAAGCCTCTTTATTTACCATATTCGCATGAGGATATTGGAAAGTATTTTTTTTACTCACCTGTATAAATTCTAACAAATTCCTTATCTGTAATATCGATGTTACAATATTCTATTTTAACAGAAATCTTATAACCCTCGTCCGTTGTGACGATTAATTTCTCGTTATGATCTGGATGCCAAGTAATATTTTTTTCTCCAAGGTGAAATTCAGTCGGGGCTAGTGTTGATGTTGTAACGGCTCCGGAAGAAATTTCAATCCACGCTAAAATATTTATTTTAGTTAATATTTTTTTGTATCATATGAACCCTTGGTTATAATAAATACTTAATCAAGTTAAGATGAAAGAAGAAAAATCTAGACACAAAATTAATAATAAAAGAAAAACTGGATCACTTCCAACTCATCCAAATGTGTATAGGACATATACCAGATAAACTGAAATTAGGGAAGAGGTAGATAAAATACTAATCAATAAGATGAATCTAAAGTTCTAATAGCAATGCTAAATCTTAAACATACAATTTAATATTGCTTTCGCTAGAAACTTTATTAGAACATCATATACTTGTCCGTCCTCCGTTATTAGAACAAATAGACTGACAAATGAGGTATCTAATGAGAGCTCTTAACCCAAAGATGGTATTAAAGGTGGGAAATTTGACTTCCGGTTCCGGACTTGCGATCGGAAGTACTGTTTTGAAGTCGCTGAACTAGTACAAGCGATATATTATTCGACACGCTTTAGCAAGACGAGAACAAATATATTGGTATACAAATATATTTTCCGGTTAAAAATTTGTAACCGAAAGTGCCACATTATAGTGGCAGAAATAGTAACTGTGATTTATCAATCGAGTCATATTGAAAAGTCGTGCTCGAATAATTAGTTCTGGATTTTAATGTTAGTTCCGTTTAAAATGTTATATCCGGAAATTTGGCAAAAATAATTTAAAATTAATGAAATCTTATGTCAATCGACGCAAAGTTACACGAAAAGTTCAAATATCGCCTTCTGGCCACGTGGGAGAAAGTCTACGACTTACGAAGACCAATTGCTTGCTTAAGTTAATTTAGTTTAAATACATTTTATTGCTTAAGTATGAATATCCAAAGGTATGGTCTAGATCATCGACGACTCGGCGAATCTTAGTTTTGATTTAGCATCATATTCATTTGGTATAAATATTATGAAAAACAGTGTATGATACATCTATGCTATAGAAAGAAAGGTATGCAGAAGTCACTATCAAAAGTTGCTATTTACTTATTTATTATCAGGTTTTCCTTCTTGGATATTGGACTTCCAGTTGTTCTTCATAATTATTTATTATCATTGAAATATATTTGTAACACTATCTGGAGTGATTGCGGGGTGGATTGAGTAGCTTTGCGGTTACCACACCCGAACAAAATGTGGAGGGTGATTGGCAAGAACAAGACAACAAAGGACAAATGGTACATAGAAAAATTAAATGCTACAGATAGAAGAATTAAATATGCAGAAGATATAAGCAAAAAACTGAAGGAATACTGTGAACATACAGAAAATGTTGAAACAGAATGGAGCAATATAAAAAAATGTATAAATGAAGCAGCTTCTGAACATGTAGGGATAGAGAGAAAGAACAAAAAAGAAGAATGGTATAATCAAGACTGCCATAACATGTTAAAAAAGAAGATAGAAATAAGACAAAGGTGGATCAGAACAAATAGACAAGAATATAAAGAAGAATACAACAAATTAAGGACAGAATGTAAGAAACAAATAAGAAAAATTAAACGAACCTGGTTAAATGATAAGATAAATGAAATAGAAAAAGAAAACACAATTAGAAATACAAAAGCATTTTTATAAGAAAATTAGCGAGCAGAACAAAACCTTCAAAGGAAAGATAAAAGGCATAAAGGATAGAAATGGAAAAGTATCAGAAAATGACATAGAGTTTAAAGAAATCTGGACTGATTATTTTAAAGAATTATTAACAGTACAAGAGGACGAAGACTTAAATGAAAATGTGGAAGAAGAGACCACGATGATAGAAACCGAGCTAGAAAAACCAACGAGAGATGAAATTGAGGAAATTATAAACAGTAGTCGCAACGGTAAAGCACCAGGTATAGACGGTATAAACATGGAACTAATAAAATATGGTGGACATGAACTCAGAGAAAAAATATACCAATTAATAAAAGTCATATGGGACGAAGAAAAGATGCCAGAAGAATGGCACAAAGGACAAATTATCACAATCCATAAAAAAGGAGACCAACAAATGTGTAATAATTATAGAGGACTGACATTATTAAACACAGCGTATAAAATCATGTCAACCTTAATACAACGAAGACTGGCTAAAGCGACAACAAATATCATGGGACAGTATCAATGCGGATTTATTAGGGGAAAGTCAACAACAGATGCCATACATACGGTAAAGCAAATTATGGAGAAAGCTTATGGATATAAAATAGAAATTGAACTGCTTTTTATAGACTTCCAACAAGCATTTGATTCAATAAACAGAGCGAAATTACTTACAGCTATGAGAGAAATGAGAATACACAACAAATTAAGACGATTAATAAAAATGACAATGAGCAAAACCGTAGTAACTGTAAAAACACAAGAAGGAGACACAGAAGAATTTGTTATAAATAAAGGTGTACGTCAAGGAGATTCATTATCTGCAACTCTGTTTAATCTTGCCCTAGAATATATAGTCAGAAAAATCAACAAAGGTACACTTAGAACGAGAGAGGGACAAATAATAGCATATGCCGACGATATTGTGATAATAACAAAGAACAGAAAAAAAATGGAAAGTATGTTAAATGAATTGGTAGCAGAAGGGAAAGTAATGGGATTAGTAATAAATCAAGAAAAAACAAAAATAATGAGATTTGACAAAAAATATGAAAACAAAAAGGTTAGACTGGGAGAATATTTATTTGAAGAAGTAGAAAAATTTAAGTATTTGGGAATATTATTAGCAAACAATGGAGAAAGGGAAACAGAAATTAAAGAAAGGATAATTACAGCAAATAAGACATACTATGCAAATAAAAAGCTTCTAAAAAATAAATTACTGAGCAAAAAATCGAAAATGAAAATATATAAAACAATAATTCGACCTACTATGATGTATGCTGCCGAAACCCTTAGCATGACAAAAAAACAAGAGGAAGACCTTAGAATACTAGAAAGAAAAATACTAAGAGCAATATTAGGACCAATAAAAATTAATGAAAACCAATATAGACAAAGAACGAATCATGAACTATTAAACGAAATTAAAGAGGATATAGTTTGTAAAATAAAACAGCAAAGGGCAAAATGGCTAGGACATATATGGAGATCAGGACCATCTACGACAATATTTTCAATATTGGAATGGACACCAGCTGGTAAACGAAGACGTGGAAGACCAAGATCTACATGGCTACAAGAAGTAAGAAACGATCTCAACAGGGCGGGCGTACGACAATGGAGAGAAAAAACCAGAGATAGGAAACAGTGGAGAAAAATAACAAGACAAATTAAATAAAGAAAATGAGGACTGATCTACCTCGTAAAATAGATCTAGAGAGCTTAAGCGGCGTAACCCCGTACGGGGTGTTTAGCCACAATATATATATTGTGGCGTTTGTATAGTTCTAATTTATTTGTCTTTATTCTAATTTATTGTCTATAATCTAATTTATTAAAACTCACGATAGCTAATTACTAATTTATTAAATAACTTTACAGTTGTATTTATTTCACGTTTCGTTACATTTAAATACCGCGTTTACCGATCTTCTTATGACTGACTCAAATACAAAAATCTTTCATTTATATACACAACTGTTGTCATCTGGAACTTTCGGCGAACTTCCTGAATGATCTCGTATTTTGGTGAAAGCGCTCGACTCGTTTTTCAACCTCGAGACGTGGATGACTCACTAAAATTAGTGTCTAGAGATTTCTGTAAACAACTGGTAGCGAAGCTCAGGTATATTTTGACCTACAAATTACGAGAATCAATAAAAAAGAATTAGTCATAAAATATTTACAGTTCTATATGCCATAACATTTAAAATCGTAACATTGCCCCCCTCTTAAAAGATGGTTCCTCCTGGAACCTTGTCGGGACTGGAACTGGAACGACATGCTGATATCGGCAACTGGACCCTCTTTTACAACTTCCAGTTGTATAGAAATGACAAGGGACGGTTTTCTCTCCGCAGCAGTAACTATGCGGATTGCAACAGACTAACACCTGGACTTCGGTGTCTTTAAAGATTTCCTCCACCATGTTTCGTATAACCCTCCAATCTAATTGGCGGCACTCCAACTTTGGCATGGCTAACTTTTGCACGTCGGACTCTAGTACGTGCTCTCTCAACTGAAGTAAGGCTTCCCATACATCTCGGTAGGTAGGTTGGTCACGGGCAGTGTCTTTTGTTACCAGGTAGAAAAGGTAACGTGATGCATCTTGAAGTTTCAAGGTTTTACCAGGAGCTGGCACTTGGCATTGAAGTTCTGCAACTCGACCAAACTTCCTTCGAAAGACGGATGTCAACCCTGGTGCATCTTTGATACTGGCCGGGATGGTAAGGGAAGCGCGAGTAGATCTTGCCTTTCTTCAGTGGTAACACCATGTCTTGCTTTACCGGTACCTCCATAGGCACCCATGAATTCCTCAAACGTGAGGTCAGACACATCTTGGACTTGGTTTACTTCCACTTCTTCATCTACGTCGTGGTCACCCTCGAAAGACGCCAGCCGGTTATGGTGTACTATCATCGGCTTTCCTCTCGGAATCTTGCTTATTCGGTAAATAACATCATTGATCTTCTCCATAATGAGGTATGGACCTTCCCAAAACTGCTGCAATTTGGGAGAACAACCTTTTCGCTTTTTGGGGTTATAAAGCCAGACTTTATCGTTCTTCTTAAAACACCCCTTTTCGGCTTGCGTATCGTACCGTTTCTTCATTCGGTCACTAGCGATCTGGAGATGGGAACGGACCAACTCGTGTACATCGTCCATTCTTCTTCGTAATTCGATCACATAATCTTCACCTGCTACATCTTCTCCAGGTCGACACCCAAACTCTAGATCACAAGGTAGTCGCATCTCGCGTCCGAATAGGACTTTGGCTGGTGTCTGGCCTGTTGATTCATTAACAGCAGATCTGTAGGCCATTGTGAAGAACGGGAGATATTGGTCCCAGTCTCGCTGATGATCGGACACCATCTTTGTCAAATACTTGCCAACT